CCAACTTGAGGGGAACATGATGAAGGAGTTTGCTAATTCTTTAGGTGATGGATTAGGGGTTGGCCAGTACAACCAACCTAGTTGTCATGGTAAATGAAAAGTAGCTTGATAGAGAAAATCAAGGGAATATACAGATGATGCCACTCGAGAAAGTGGTACAAAGGATTTTAAGTATCATGTATATGTTTCTCATATGTTAGATGAATTACTCATTAATTACTAAAAAATTTATTGTGTTGTATGGTGATTTAGAGGAACAAGCCTATTAGGGAACCTTTGTTAAGGAGAGGCAACAAGACATTTTGACGATTGCATTTGGCACTCAAAAGCATTGGAGATGTGTGTGTACAACTAAAAGGGGTAGAGGTGTTTCCCTCCTCCTCCTCCTGCTGCTGTCAATTCTTAATGGAGTTGTGTTGCCCATGACGTATTAAGAGAGGATGCAATTGATGCAGCACAACCCCTAGTGTAATTATTCATTGATGGCACATTAGAACAATTGGTAGCCATAGGCAAGGTGCATATGATGAGGTCAACCATCCACCCCGAGGAGATTACATATGATATGCTACAAGTGGAGGTTATTGATGTTAGAAGGCATGATGCTTGAGTCCTAAAGGTTCAGATTGTGGAATTGACCCTAAGTACCTTTATCTTATGGCCATCTAGGGCCAATGTGGCTAAGGTAATCAATGTTTCAATATATTACATTTTAATGATGTCCTTAATTAATTGTATTTTACTAATTCAATTGTATAAGATGTTTAGGTACCTTCTAGAAAGGGAAAGTTGTTGCTACTTCACGTGCAACAACTTCTAAGCTTTCTTTAATCCATTGATTGGCCTTAGCATCTATTGATCTTCAAAGGCATGATGTATACATAGACATGTCTCCTAAGATTGGCAAGGACATGCCTATTTTCTTTATTTGTCAACATGATGTCGTGGACATAATTTTTGGGGATGACCTTTTTTCCATATCAGTGATGCACTGATAGATTAGGTAGGTATTATTTATAATGGTTCTTAATTTAATATATTCAATTACACATTCCTTATAGTATATTTCTATTCACAACTATAGGCATCTTTATCATATGGCCATGGGCATTCCAAATGTCTTTTATTTTGGTTTCATTGATTGATTGCCATCCAATCTGTCAGTAAAAAAGACACTAAGATGAGTTGATATTTGATAGATTGGTTCAAGGACAAAGGAAAGAAAATGTACTTAGCAATTATATTTGAATAAGTAAGTACTTGTGTTATATTTAATGTTAAGTTTATATTAACTTACATGTTTCTTACAATATTAAAAAAATGCAATGCTCATTGATAACTCCTCGTGATAATTCCAATAGTTGTTTTACATAGTAACTTGTTTCACAAAGTGTCATTGTAGTGCACAACGACATTTGTGACACGTGGTCAATTTATTATTATTTTTTTGCATCATTATAGTCTAAAGCGACTCAAAATGAGTTATTGTAGTCTACAATGACACAAACTAACTTGACTAAGGGTTATTGTAGCCTATAACGACCCAGTTATATATATTTTGTGTTTGTGTGTCGTTTTGGGTCACAACTACACTATTTTTTTTGTTTTTTGTGTGTCACTGTGGATCACAACTACACTATTTTTTTTTTGTTTTTTGTGTCATTGTGAGCCATAACTACACTTTTTTTTTTTGTGTTTGTGTCATTGTGTGTCAAACCTACACTATTTTTTATATATATTTTTTGTATGTTATTGTGGGCTACAACTACACACTTATTTATTTATTTATTATTTTTTAGAATGTATTTTTTATAAGAAAAACCAACAAATGGGTAAAATATTTTTTATAAAGGAGTAAAAAATTATTTGTTTACTCTTTGGGGCCATGTGACACATTCTAATTGACAAAATGTACAAAGAAAAAAAAAAGGTTAAACCAGGGTCATTGTAGCCCACAACGACCCAAAAAATATTAATGGGGGCATAGTAGTCCACAATGACCCCCCTAAAATTAAAAATAATATATATATATATATATATTTAAGTGGCATTGTAGTCCATAGCGACATATATTGACTCTAACTGAAGTTATTGTTACCTACAACGACTTTTGCTGGCTAAAAAAAATGTCACGTATCACTAGTGTAGCTATAATTCATAACAACACTATTTGAAATAGTTCCAAAAATATAATATGTTTCAAAATAACCTTATTTATATAAAAAAAAATTTGTAAAAAAGTCTCACAAGCATTAAAAAAAAAAACCTATTATTCTTTTTTAGTGTACGAATAACTGTTGATGAGTACATTTTACTTCAACTTTTGTGGTATATTCATGTTGGCTTTAGGTATGTAAAGTAGCGGTTTCAATTTGTAATGATCGTTAATTATTATTATTTTCCACCGAATGCTCTATTAGGCTAGGTGTTGTCTACTAAGCCTGAACCACTAGGACGAGGAGTTTGCTGGAGAAGACTAATTAAACGCTGAAATTGGGCCTTAGTGAGATTAAGCTCAGAATCACGAGGGAAACCCTCATTGGTCTCCTCCTTAACATAAGAGACATCACTGATGGTGCTATTAGCTGAAGAACTAGTGCAAGGATTAAACTTTGGCCTACCGGGATAAAGAGGATGACCTAGTGGATAGCCATGTTTGCTACAACAAACGTCCATTGTGTGGCTGAGATGATGAAAATAGCCACACTTTTTGTTGGAGTTTGTTGTGTTTATGGTGCGTCGAGCTTTGTCTACTGCAACATTAGCAAACGAATTAGGCTCAGCAATGGAAGAAGTGGCATCAAGTTGTTGGCGTTCGTGTTGAATGACCTGGAAAAATCTAATTCACGGAAGGTAAAGGGTCCAGGAGGAGCACTTGAGACTGAACCACTACAAAACGATCGTCGAGACCTTTAAGGAACCTGATGATAAAGTCTTGTGTATGATATGTTTTGGCAGAGCATCCGCAAGCAGCCATGGGACGAAAGTTATCCAGTTCTTCCCATAAGGCTTTTAAGCTAGTAAAGTAATTAGTGACATTTCGAGTACCCTAGTTGAAGGCATAGACTTCTTAAAGTTCCACAATTCGAAGTAGACCACCTCGGAAAAAATGTTCATGAAGATCAGTCCAAATGTCGATAGATTTATCAAGGCAGATCACACTCTGAGTGATGGAAGGCAACAAAGAGCTCAATAACCATGACATGATGAGTGTGTTGCATCGTTCCTAGTGGGGAATAATGGGTTTGTAGCAGCAGGAACTGGAATGGAACCATTGAGGAACACCATTTTGTTTTTGGAAACAAGGGTCATACGAAATGACCGAGACCATGAATGATAATTGTTGCCAATAAGGGCTAGAGCAACAATGATTGTTGAGGGAATTTCACTAGGGCGAATGTGATAGAGACTAGAAGGATTTTGGGTGGGGTCTGGTGGGGGATGTAAAAGAGTATCATCGGCCCCTAGATTGTACATATGAGAGACGGAGTCTGACAATTTAGAAAAAAGCTCTGATACCATAAAAGGAAAAAGCTGAAAGGAAGAAAAATATAGTACAAGAAAATAACCACTATACAACTCATCATATTCTAGAAGAATCCCAACTATTTACAACTGATATTCAGTTATTTCTGTAATGCAAATTGTGAAGTTGTAAAGTGTGTATTGCAACCTATTTCTATTACTACACAATGTTGTTTTTGAGATGGATTGGACTCTTTATCTGTTAATTTTATTCTGTCTTACTTGATATATCTCACTTATCAAAGTAAAATTTATTCTTCGTGAGCGCATAATTTTAAGTAAATGGGTTCAAGCACAGGGAGGAGAAAGGAGTTTCGCAACCCTATTTTTACCTTATGTTTACACAAGAATTATGTCATTTCTTGAATATAAACTTAATTCTATAAAGCAATCCTTTACTCGAGATGGAATTAGCCTCATAGTCAAAGAGAGTTTTACCAAATTTTTGAAGTTTGAACTTCTGTTCTGGCTTTGAGCTTGATCCAACTACTATTCTCAGCCTATTTATAATCCGAACACAAATGTGCACTTTGCTCTCTATAGTATTCTTCTATGGGATCCATCTTTCAAATTATGTTAGATTTCTTACATGGATTAGCATAATTTACATTATATTTTATGAAACCTAAATTAATTGAGTGTGAAAATTAAATAGAGCATACTATAAACCCAAAAAAAGTTCTCAATATTTTGGACATTGTTAATAACCACTACTCCCAAGTGAATATCGTATTGGGCGCATATAGGATTATTGATGGTTAGTCCATTATATTATTATCATATACACAGATGAGACCCTAATTCTTTTTCATCCTAGTCCATGTAGATTATTAAACTAGGTAACAGCTGTAGAATCCTCACCAAATTATACAAATTACTAACAGTGATAGAACTCACAGCAATAACACTTGTGAGACCCTAATTCTTTTTCATCCTAGTCCATGTAGATTATTAAACTAGGTAACAGCTGTAGAATCCTCACCAAATTATACAAATTACTAACAGTGATAGAACTCACAGCAATAACACTTGTGATAGCTCCATCCTTTCTGCAATCATGTAGTCTACTCTACATAAAATTTTGTCCATTCACATCTCAGGACAAGGTAGAATAATCTAATTGATCAGAGTACATCTTTTTCTTACCACAATTCCTGATGTATTTACTGTATGTTTGGAGTAATCTTCTCCATGGAATCTAAAAACAAATGACAAGCACCACTTACAAGATGACATTGAAATGGCAAGAGTCACTGCCTTTCCAAAGGCCATGTAACTGGATACACATAGTCATCAACTTCAGAATTCACAATCAATATCTGTGTCTCGGACAACTTTCCTTTCAAAGTCCAAAATTGAAAGTTTTGTTAGCTAAAATACAGTGTGTGATCTAATTCTTGCAAGTTCAAATGATTCCATCCTAATATTGTGCATTAACAATATATATCAAGCATGAAGATAATTCACAAAACCCATAAAAAAGGATGCATGTATTTCCACGGGTGAAAGAATGATTCCTTGAAGCAATAACAAGTTAAGCCTTTGTGGCCATATTACAATTGCAATGCATGAAATGAAAATGTTTTAGGAATTAAAAAAAGAAAAAGGAAACATGGGAACTCAATGGCACCCCTCCTATGAGGCTTTCTGTATGAATTAATCATCCCATAGCTGATCTTGTCATTTCATATGCCAAGAAGCAAGCTGCATTAGCAGGAACACTTCGAGCCATAGCAGGACCGAAACCCTTGTACAGGCCTTTGAGCCCCTCAGAAGCTCGAATTCTTCTGAAAGCATCAATTGAACCAGAAAACTTTGGGTTTTTGTAATCATCTACTTGAATCACACTCTTAACAACATCAGTTGGGTAAACTATGGCCCAGAAGGCAGCTCCAGCCAAGCCTCCAGCAAGCAACAAAGAACCTCTACCCAGTCCTGAGGTATCAGTGCCACCTGCAAGTAATTGCTTTAATGCTTCATATGCACCAAACATTGCAGCATTTCCTGGTATTTCTCGTGCCATAGTGGGAACCAAGCCCTTGAAAAGACCTTTCAAGCCCCCTTCTGACCTGAGAACATGCCTGGCCACATCCATAGGTCCACCATATTTCACTGCCACTGCAGCTGCTCCGGAGCCAGCTAGCGTACTTTGAGCTTGCAATCTGATATTCCCCGTTAAACAAAACAGTTGGAAGATCAATACATAGTTTGTGTACTTCTGTTAAATGATAACAATAACATGAAAAGTGTGAAAAGTTAACCAAGGGTAATCTGTAGTTGAATTCTTTCAGCTCATTCTCATGATTATCTGATTTCATGTCAACTACAACATATGTGATTGAGGGTCTGTTTGGATAAATTTTTCCACAAACACTTCTGGGAGAAAGAAAAAGAAAGGAAAAATGAAATAAACTCTCCATAAGCTAGGGTTAGTTTATGTACAAGCTAAATTGTAATTTTTTGAAGAAGTTATATGAGAAAGTTTTTACAAATTAGTTTATACATAAATTAATTTTAGTTTATAGAGAAGTCTATGAGCCTATTTAGATACAAGATAAAAGTGCTTATAAGGGTTTCTCTACTGAAAATAAAGAGTATTTTCTGGTAGAGAAGCTCTCAAAAGCGCTTTTAAACTTATATAACTTGTATCCAAATAGGTTTTATGTCATTTTTCCTTCTTATTTTTTCCGCCCAAAAGTGCTTATGAATAAATTCAAGCAAGCCCCGAATTTGATTAAAATAAGCACTTAAATGAGCAGTGCTTCAAAATAACAAGGAAATAAAAACTTAGTACTAGCTACAAAAGTTATTGTTTTCACAGAGGTCAAAATCTACGAAAAAAATTTAAAAGGAGAAAAGGAAGACACAATATATATATATATATATATATACATATATATATAGACTATACAGGAAATGCAACTAAATCTTAACAATTAAAACACCATCAATGAACTCTGACCTGCATTTGATCAATTCAGTAGGGCATGCTAGAAAGGAAACAGCAATCCCGGCTCCAGCTCCACAAACAACCTGCTGATTTACTGTGAGGATAGCACCGGGATGCGACCTCAGTAATGCTTCCATTTGTCCCCTAACTGTAAACAGGACAGCATTGAAGGCGGCTACTGTGGCAAGTGGGGCTCCCATACCCTTGTATAAACCCCTTGGACCTTCAGCTGCCACTGTCTGCTTGACAGCATCAATTGCACCAGAATACCTGGGAAGCTGGCCAGGGAGTGGTGTAGGTTGGCTTTGAAGCTTGACCTTGATGGTGTCAAATGGATGTCCAACTATCAATTGTGATGCCCCTCCAACAGTCCCAGCTGTAAGGTCCTTTGCCACATCTCCCATCTGAAATATCAAAATTCCAAGAACGAGAACCAAGGTTTAAGACAAGTAACTTGAACATGTGAAGTGAAATTACTATGACAAATAACATTTACAATACTCGAGAAAACAGCCCATTTATACAATACTGGAGAAAACAAAAAATCTTGAGCATGCACTTTATCTCTACAAAAAAAGAAGCATTGAGAGCAGGATTGTCTGTGTTTCAAAACCACAATCCCTTGGGCATCCCTTTCGCATTAACTTCTTATGTCCCCATGAACATGTGTCAGAAGTTGAAGGCATATATGATACTTTTCAGGGTAAAAGTAGTGCTACTGGGAGAGCTAAACTTCATTAGAGTAAACTCTCATTCTAGCACTTAAAATTGTATGCATGAATTACTTTAGTCCATGACTTCACAAATCACTACTTTAGTCTCTTTTGCTGGAAAACAACAGTATAAAATGAAATAGGAAAAGAATAAAATGAGTAACTTCTTGAAAAGTCAGGAATCAACGTATCAAGGATTTAAGTGACTGACATTTACAATTTTAAGGACTAGAGCGAGGATTTTGCTCTTATTTTTCAGGAGAGGCATTCTCAGACTGCAATAACGCGTAAAAGCATAGTTTGGAAAGTAATAATAAAACAAATCGCTTTTATTCATATCCTTTGTTCCTTTTGAAAATATTTCTAAGAGGTAGTAACTACAACAATAACAACAATAGCTTTATTCAAAGGACTTCACATACTCCTTTAGTCAATGACAAAACTCACTTGGAACTTGCTTATGTAATTGAAACATATTTTATTAGGTTTGTTTGGAAGGGTTGATATTTCTTATTTATCATTTGTTGGAGTGTGTTAATTACCTTTGTACTTCTAAGTACTTCTAGTGCCTACTTATTAATAAATTTCTTTTGCTGACCAAAAAAAAAAAAAACAATAGCTTTATCTCAGTAGGTGAGATGGATACATGAATCACACGACATTATTACTATCAGTTAAAAACCAAATTCTTAGAGATATTATTGATCATGAGACCCCCTTTAATAATTTCTTCCAAAGTTCTTAGTCACCCTATACCCTGGAGTAAAAACCATGTAATCAACTGTCCTCATCAGCACCTTTATTGACCTTTGCAGGTCTGCAAACCACACTCTTGTGTAAAAAAAATAATAAATCCAAGAAATTTTTTTAGAGGCGATAAGATTAATTTCTCACTGCTGCAGGCACAAAGCACTGTCACAAACCTGAGAAATTATCCTTTTGGCAATAGAGATCAGAAATAAATTGACCAAACCAATCTTGTAACTAGCGCATGGGTCATTTAGAGGCTTCCATAATATCATGATCGACGCATAAAACTCTTACACTTCTAGAAAAGGTATAAGCCAATAACTTTCTGGTGATCAAATCTCTGTTTAGCAAAAAGCTGGTTAAAAGGATAAGAAAGAGTTTTAAAAACTTTAGAGCTTTACACGCTTGACATGGGAGTATAATGGGTATTGTTTGCTAATTAGCTCAAAACTGTATGCTATAGTTTCTTACCAAATCCTAACAAATCTGAGGCCAGAAATAGATCTATAAAACTTTCTGTAACAGTGACATCATTTGGTAAGGATTAGAAGGAAATGAAGGGAAAATTGCTGCAGTTATAAAGATCAAATCTCATTATGAATACATGAACTACCTTATCTTTAACTTCATTTCCTTTCTATCAAACAATGCAAGGGAAACCAAAAAGGAAAGAAAATAGTGAAACCCAATTTCATGTTGATGTCTCAGACAGCAGATTTGTAATGTATTGATGCACATACTCATGTTGATATAAAATACATGATCATACCAACTGAACCACAAAATGGCAACTTAAAATTTTAAAAAGACTTAAATATAATAAGAATCAAAGTTTTAAAAAATTATACCATAAAGTATCCAAACAGAATGCTTGAAAATATAACAATTGTAACAACATTAAGTGTTCTCCTACACAGCATTAGGGGTGAAAGCAAACTGAAGTAAATATTTATACGTATCCATTTATACATGTTCTTCTCTCTCAATGAATGACTCATGTCTTTTAGTTGAATAATGATTAAAAACTTTAGAAGTGTTAGATGAGAAAACATCAACAGTCATAGTGAAAATTCTTCGCAAACCACAAACTTTGCATTTGAAAAGGGATGCAGTAATGCAAAATAAAATATTTTAGTCATCATATCATGTACATTGTTGATTAATTATGTGTGTCATGACTGTCATTTCACCTCATGAAAGAATACCATGACGGAGTGAATTAAGATATCACAAAAAAGATATGTTCATATATGCAACATAGTTACACAGGGATTTCTCATTCCTCCTCAATTGTATACATTGAAATCATATGCAACCACTCAAACTACAGAAACAGTTTACATACATGCATCATCCTGTCTAGAAGGTTTATTTTTAAGGTTTTCAAGAACTCAATTTCATCCAAATTTGTTATAAATTAAACCAAGAGGCATTTTATGAGACCCGGCAAAATACACCTTAGAGTAAGAATTGTTTTTCTTATTTCAGACTTATTTAAAGCCATATATGGCATTCAGGCCACTTTGCGATCTACCATATACTTGTTGCCCATAGTACATTAATTCTTTCAAAAGATATACAGCAAAAATAGAATTTGAAAGTGGTTCAAATTAAAACAGGTGAAGGAAGGTGACACTCCATCTTTCACTGTTTTTTTCTTCATGAATAAGAAGATTAACCCCATATTGCTTAAAAACGACTCCTTTTGCTCATTTAACCAAGCACCCACAAATTCACAAATGCAGCAACATTAGAGATGTAGGATCACTATCAAGAATGAATCAAGTTTATGATCGTCTAACTAAATTAGATAACTCGAAAAAAAAATTAAAAAAAAAAACACTATTTTATCAATCAAACATCTGAAGGTAGAATACAGATAGTGTCAGGAATCGGATCACTAATGACACATGCATTAATCCTTCTAAAAACATGAACTTTAGAACAAAGCTAGAACGTTACCGTGCTCTCGCTGGTTCCCAAAAAAATTGATGAAAAATGAATCAAATTCAATCAACCCTTTTATCAGAAGTGCAGAATGAACAAAAGGGAAAAATTGGAGGTAGAATTGAAGAGGGAATGGTGCTTTTGATTGAAATGAAAGGGTGTTAGGTGAATCTGTGAGATGGGTTTGTGAAGGCGACCGATAATAATCCAAATGTAGAACACATGAAAATATTAGAGTTGCATTACAGAAACAGAAGAAAGTTTTGGGTAGGACGAAAATCAAAATTCAGAGTCAACAAGGAAAGGGAATGGAGATGTGGAACGCAGGGAAACTCACTGTCTGTCTCCAATCAATCACACTTATAGTGGGCAATCCACACACACGTGGAAAATTAATTTTATTTATACATTTCATTTCATACAAGTTTTATGCAATAAAAAGATATATTCATACACTAGAGACATAAAAATATTTCAAAGAAAAAGTTGGTTATGGACAGGACTAATAATTAAAGGCAAAAATATATTTTTCATCTCTTATATTATTTATTAGTGTTAATTTAATCTCACTTTAATTAATTAAATTAATTTAATCTCACATTTATAAAATTTATTTCAATATTTGATTTTTGATTTTCTTTGTTTAAATATTTAATAAATTTAACTTGTGTTATGACACGTGACATGATGACATATCACGTGTTATGCTACAATACCACATGTGATGACACATGTCATGATATCATATCATGTGACATGATAGCATGACACGTGTCATATTCGTTAAGTATTTAAATAAAAAAATCAAACATTCAGATATATTTTAAAGATGTGAAACTAAATTAATTTAATTAATTAAAATGGGACTAAATTGACACTAAATAATATAAGGGATAAAAAATATATTTTTGTCTAATTAAAATTTTTATACTAATATTGAATAATCATTAAATTATATTTTAAAACATTTTATTCCGGTATTATCATTAATATTTGTGAACAGTGAATGCTACCAACCATGGGATGCCCCGTAACAAAATATGAGAGAAGTGAACTTGTACTATTTTCGGTCTCAATCCCAAGTAGTAGGTAATAACATCATTTTTTATCCGTCCTCACAAAGTCACACGTGAGCTTTTTCCCCAAACAAACATACAAAGGTTAAACCTCACTTACCCATCTTGTTTCCTAAGCAAATCCACTAGGGGGTCCCAAAAACATATGTGTGCTTGGCTAAGCAAATAATGGTTCACTCAACCAAGATTCAACTTGTTCATCATTTTCTCTAAGTGAGACCAATCTTGTTGAACAAAAATTCATCATCTTACACTTGGTCCTTCATCCCTCGAAGGCTTGTTGAGAAAGCAAGCCTAGAATATTCCACATCGAGGGCTTTCCATGTGCTCAAAACCAAATCTAATATTGACTACAAATAATAAGTCATCAAATTAGCTCCAAACAACATCATAATCATTCACACAACATATATAAACAAAAATTAAGTTTTATTAACCTTAAATTAACTTTCTATGAGTTAAGACTAATGAAAAAAAAAGTCTTTCCAAAAACCCAACTTTAAGTTTCCTAAAGGAATTAAAAACATAAACATCCTACTACCCATCAAACAACTTTATAAACATGTTGTGTTAGAATAGCTCTAACCAAAAGCCACTACCAACAAGGCCACCCAAAACTCTCCAAGCCCACCCTCCCCCTAATCTTAACCAGCTCACATACCAAGTATGATCATTACAGTCTAACACATGAAAATAAAGGTGAGCTCGTACAACAGAAACAACATATACGAGAAAGCTTTATAATCTAATTAAAACAACTTTATATAACTTTTCAACATGTATCAAATCAAATAACCAATTTTATCATTAGCAACGTATTTTCAACCCAAATCAAAATGCATTTCATCTCACACCTTTCAACATTATATCCTTATATCAACACAATAGCTCAAAATTAACTCAAACACAAATACAACTTCCAACCTAACACTTTAAAATATAATGAATGCAAAATCTTTACAACTTAACATCTCTATGTGTTGTCACACATTTTCAATTATGGATATCTCTTATAACTTTGTGAGAAATTTAAGTGGTTTGATCCTACTGAACCTATAATGCTTCATGTTATCTTTAGGTCGTAAATACAACTCAGCAGACATAATAGCCATAAACAACTCAAATGGTTTCTTAAACGTTGCCACTTAAACTAGGAAGGTATAATACAACCTTCAATTATAGTACAACTTAGGTGAAGACTTACCACAACATTGGTATAGTTTAACCAAGCTCTAAATGGAAGTAGTCTACTACATATCCTCTCAATACAATGCACCCTTTCATCACTCGGTTAGAGATTATGACTCCTGACTTTGTACCTTACTTGGTCACTTATATCAACTATGCTCGATCTAGTCCCATATGGTTGTCAACTTTAAAATCTAAAGGAGGCAACTTTTCAAAAACAACTCTCCCTACGAGAGCTAACTCTGCCACTAAAGGGTTTTCAAGATTAGGTTCTTCGAATACCACAACTCCGATCTGCACAATGGGATCTTTCAAATTAAAAATAACTTCATCTCTTCTAATTTTATTTCAACTCAAAAGAACCATGCATAATGTATCACCATATTAACTTAAAATTAATACTCAGGTAACTTTTACATATTCAACTAAATCATATTACAACATGTAGCAACCTCGATCGCGACGGGATGACGAAAAATAAATTGAAAAAGAGGAGTCGCCACCAATGTTATTTTTTACGGAAAAACACTGGAAAAACCATAAAGTAGAAAACAGTCTACGAAAACCAAATTTTTGAGTTCGGGAGTCGATTACGTGTGAGGAAGGTATTAGCACCTCACAACGTTCGTCCTAAGACGATTACCTTTAATTAATTAAACTAATTATTTATAATTTATAAAATATTTATCTCACTAAAATGATTAAATATATTTTATTTAACTAAACTATTATTGTATATATAAAAAGGGTTTAAATTATTATTGTTATATAAAAAGAAAATAATATATTTTTTTATTTTTTGGCTCGACAAGATTTAGTTCTTGCTCCTACGTATCTTCATGTATAATGAAGAATCAGAGTCACGTAGTTCTTTGTAGAAAATGTTTGTGTGTTGATATTTTTTATTTAAATTTATTTTTGTTAAATATAGGATTCTTGAACTGTTTCAGCTCATTCACCCTAAAAATATAAAATTGACTAAGGTGTACACCAAAGTCAATTCAATAAATTTTTAATTATAATTATTGCTAGAGATGTTATGATGAGTCAATTCAATAAAATTTTAATTATAATTATTACTAGAGATGTTATGATGTTAAAAAATTTATTGATTGGACATTTTTGTTTTTGGAGAAAAAATTTATAGATAAGTTGTCACAACTTGTACTTTAAATTCAAAGGTTAAAAAGATGTCACATCTAGTTAATCATTCCTCCAATAAAAATTTTAATACAATGATTTCAGATATTTACATTAAATATTGTAACATTATATTTGATATTTAATCACATTTTGAATTTAAATAAAGACTAATGACAAATATTATTAATATAAAAAATAATAATAATAAAAAGAAGTGAGTTCGATGTACTCACTATTCTTCGCCCAAGAAGTGGTAAGTCGTTGGTCTCTTCCTTCGAGTTCCCTCTGGTCCAGGGTGGAGATGTGTGTGTGTGGGTGCCTTTGGGAAGGGGAAGGGCCGCTATTTATAGACTTTCAGGAGGGACCGGAACGGCCCGTTCTGAATCCGGAACGGCCCGTTCTGGGGTTGCAATTTTACTCACAACGGCCATTTTCAGAACGGGCTGTTCCAATTTCGGAATGTCCCATTCTGGACTAAAATTTGTAGGTATTTTGGTAGTTCGAGAATGGCCCATTCTGGGCTAAAAATTATAGGTCCTTTTTTAAGGTTGGAACAGCCCGTTCTAGTTTGGGAACGGGCCGTTCCAGTTTCTGGGAACAGCCCGTTCTGGGCTAGAATTTATAAGTCTTTTGGATGGTTGGAACGACCCATTCGAGTTTTGGAACAGCCCGTTCTGGACTAGAAATTTCAAGGCTTTTTGTAAGGTTGGAACGGCCCATTCCAGTTTTGGAACGGCCCGTTCTGGGCTAGAAATTTTAAGATTTTTTGGAAGGTTGGAACGACCCGTTCCTATTTTGAAACGGCCCGTTCTGGGCTAGAAATTTTGGGGCTTTTTGGAATGTTGGAACGGCCCGTTCTGGACTTCTGAAATCATATGAAAATTACTAAATTATCCCCCCATAAAAATATAAAAAATGAGGCGTTACAATTGGCTTCCATATTTTTGTCTTTTTTATTCTTTCTTGTATATACCTTTTTTGCTATTTTTTTAAAACAAAATTGACATTTCCCAGACGAAATTGGGTTACTACACAACATCTCAACAATTTATCATAACATATACAACATTCATCAATAAATCATCTTAACTCATCACCAATCATTTCCATTCATCATAATACAACATGTATATACATCTTGCATCATTAAGATACCACAACATAGTCATGTAGGTAATCTAACTTAGTATTCTTGAAACATGATTTTTTGTTGTGCGAGGGATGGCTCGCTGTTGAGATTTCCGTTGAAACACTTTTATTAATATTTGTAATCCTCTATTTTGGTTATGCATTTGTCAGAAAACATGGATCTTAAACTCAAAAGTCAAATCCAAAACTCATTCACATATATACTAACCTCAAATCGTCTAAAACCCAAAAAATGTCCAATCTAATCGGTCAAAAAGATCTGGAATCAGATGTCAAGAAGCCCTTCACCAGAAATCGTCATGACCAAAAATGTCCACACCTACTCGATGAATGTTGAGATTTCCGTTGAAACACTTTTGTTAATATTTGTAAATTCGTTTAATTCTATCAACGGTCTCAAACACGACAAGTATACCGGCCGTTCAAGTAGTAAAAGTATCGTGTCCACAGGGATTAGAAGGTAAAATAAGCATTTATTGACTATTCGTGACTAAAGAATAATTCCAATTTCATAGTTTGTCATGTGAATTCAAAGTTGTGACTATTGGAATGAAAGCTATAAATAAATATTGGTTTGTGAGTGGAAAAGGATAGAAATGGTATAATGGTTTTGTGAGGTTGTGGGGGTTAGATTTCACCAAACGTCAGACTAATGAATCCTTAATCTCTTGTTACATACATTGCTTAGTCAACCCATAAGTTTACTCAAACCTAATCCCTTAGAGAAAGAGCCTAGGTGCGGATATTGAATATCAATCCCTTGAGTACCCAATATCTACACCTTCAAAGTTTTAGAA